ATTAATACAAGTTATACAACACACATAAATACAATAATGATTGAATCAATAATAATGACAAAACCGAGCCAGTTTTTGCTACCTGTACTGATCTAATTTCTAGCTGGCTCGCAAGCCTACTCCTACCTACTGCCTCTTAGGCTCTTCTCTTCTCGAAGAGGAGGGGCCCGGGAGGGGGGAGGGGCGAGAGAGCCAGCCGGGTTCTTGAAATTGAACTCTTAGCTAATATACTCGTGGTATAAAGAAAAGTGCAATACAAAATCAAGTTAGTGAATGTATAACTGTAATAGTTTACAATATTATGTTTAAATGCAAAAGAAATCGTTACGTTGATCACGATTCACAGAGCACAATCTGAAGATGTTTACCGTATGAACGTCGCGCTGCGCGCACTCTCTCTCTCGAACGGTCGAACCTGCTGAATCCTTCAATTGACTGATCGCGCGCACACAGTATTATTGTCACTATTCCTGTTAAGCGGAAAATTCCACATTTCACAGGATCCGGTGCTTCTATTGGAGTATAGCAATAACAAAATGAGTAATGGAAAACAAACCTCTAATTTTTTTTCATGGTTCAAATACTATGAGATTGTTTTGCAGAAAAATTAAATTTAATAAAGAATCGTGTACTCATAGCAGAACGAATGCAGAAGAGTCAATCAAAGACCATGAACGAGTCTGTACGTGATTTCTGCACTCAGCGTCTCCCGAGCGTTTTAGCAACATAACAAAAATTCCTGCCACCTGATTGCCTACCTATTTGCCTGATTGCCTCATAATTTATGTACAATTTAAGCTTCTAAAGATGAAAATTAGTAAATTATCTTGTTATTTTAACGATCGGAGAAGGTAAACACTCAAAATAACGTGTAATAAAACGTTGTTGCTGCATTCAATATCTATTCAAAATGCGCTTAGTGAATATATATTTTTAATATATTATAAATTTGTCACAAAAACAAATTGCTCCAACGCTACAAACGAGAAACATCAGCTTAAATGATCAATATATGAATTCTGAAGCTATCATTAGTAAAAAATTCGCCATTTTATAGCTTGATAACATTATGGACATCAAATCTATTTGCTCCTCTTCTGAACCTTTAGTTGAAATACTTTCAGAGGATGTCTTGGAATGGAATATTATATAATTTTAGTATAAATGTTAACAAAACAAATTAATGCATCAATGCATCGTCTGAAGATTGCTGATTATTCTAGAATTGGGAAATCCTGGATGTCATGTATAATATTTATAACTCATTCATCGAAAATTGTTAAGAGCATTTCAAGCGGCCACTATATTTGTCGCCATGGCAATACCGTGTTGTCATTTCACTTTCATTGACCCATGCTGCCAGAGTGCAGTCCAGTACGTCATTCTCTCCCATTATTGACAATCACCAATATCAGAATGTGGCAAAGTTGGTATTGGCCGTCATTCTATCCAATTGCCGTCCGTCATTGTCATTCTATCCAATGTCGGCGCTGAAGACTAGACCTGTCGCCGATTCTTGTACTTTCGTGACTTTTTCACAGAAGATCTGAACTCATGTCATTTGACCGGATGTTTTCAGGTCTGACGATAGTTTGAAATTGTTACTAGGCTTCCACTGGGTTAGATGTGGTGCTCGGCATTTCAAATCTGAACATATATTTTTCCATAGCTTTATCTAGTCTACTCTTGAAGGCGTTTATACTCGAGCACCAGCACTGTAATCGGGAGGCTGTTCCACATGTAGGTGACTCGAAGCGAGAAAAAATGCCGCGGGGATAAATTGCAGCGATTTTTTTTTAGTTTATAGCCGTGACCCCTGGTGTTCGTTCTTGTTTCAAACTCTACTAATCCAGTGGTTCCCAAAGTGGGCGACATCGCCCCCCTGGGGGCGGTGGAAAGATCTGGAGGGGTGGTGAGAAAGAGGCGGTTTTTTTTTAAATACTCCGCAGGGCACAGAAGCGCGTTGAGCAGAGTTTGTATCGCGACAAAAAACCGGGAATCCGAAGCTTGCTTAAAGTTAACGGGTGAAAGTCTTGTGGCCTAGTTTGAATAGAAATTGTTTTAAACTAATTCACACAAATTGCAATACGGACTTGGAACTGTTTTGCCTCTTGAAATTATTGCACCTATTTGGTTGGCCCAATCGTGGAATAGTTAATTTCTTTAAATATCTACATTTATTGAGGTCATCGTTGGCCTGAAAGCCACCATCACGTTTTCATTATTTATGCTCACAGATGCTATGCTGGAGCCGAAGAATACAGTTAAACCATTATTTACTAGTGACAATCGTCATGCTTCAAGTCCTTTTAATTTCTGAGCCCCGACAGAAATTCTAAATTATTTTTAATCATACATTTAATAAAAAAACAAAAATGACATGCAGCCGTGAAGGAACCTCGAGATATGATAGAACCTCTGTCCAAGAAGACTTGGTAGCTTGTACTGCTTTCACACATTTTATTGCAAAAACAGTTTTAATTTTAACCTGTCGTCAAGTAGCAGGTTACCATGGCGTTGTCCCGCTTTAATAATCCCTGCAATTTCATAAACACATAATGCAAATAGCATAATTGACAGTATCCCTACACTCGTCCGTAATGATAACGCTTATGCATGCAAATTAATGAAGCCTAAATTTTGCATCGAAGATATAAACTCAATTTTAAAATTTTATTCAACAATTACCAAATCAATTTGAAATTTTTCAATAATATCATTTCATATTTGCCCTCAAGAAAATAAATTTCATATTCATCGGATAACTTATATGAGAAAAACTTATTTTCCCATATAATTTTTCAGATTCGAAAAACGCTCATTTTTCGATACTGGCCCAAATGATAATGGATAACCTGTAACCTGATCAGCGACTCCTGGTGAGAACCAGGTTCTGTGGTACCGATGCAACTCAAGCACGTCTGAGGCCTGGAGTGTCGTATTGATGGCAGCGCTACGCCGTGGCACTGCAGGCGGCAGCACGAGCTTTAATCGTCCACGAGCCGTTGTCGCGTCAGACGATATCACAACGGCTTAACCTTCCATCTACGAATACATTTACCTAAGTCAATGCTATTCGTACCGAATGGCTTGGGAACGCGAGGCGTCATCGNGTACCTGGGAGCGCTGGGTGGAAGTGTGCAGCGCAGTGGCGATGTCCACCAACATGCTTCTGCTCTCAACGAAGAATTTTTGCTGCTCCAGCCGCAACTGCACATGAAGATATTAAAATCTTACACAAAGACAATAATGAGCATGAATCTTAGATCATAATTCATCCTTGAGGTACATCAAGGCAACCCATTGGTCTCAGCTGCGCGTGGCTTAGAACAATGATAATAGGAACGAGCTGCAACAAAATAACATGAAATATGTTCTACATAAACTACGTCATTACCACCAATTTGTTAATTTGGGAAGAAAAAAAAATCCTAGGTTAAGTACTTAAATTCACAGGTGCATAATTCACATGTACATGAATTATCATTAAACAAAGTATGATCAATTTAAAATAAGCAAACAATGTATGGTTGCTGCTCGCTCAGTTGATTTGTGAACGAGGAACATCGTTCACTAATTTATTCAATGTGCATTTTCTTGTGACGAAATTATTCTATTACGTCTGGCGAAGCTGCGCCAGTGACATGTGAGTCAGACCTACAGCAGTTGGAACTACGTAGTACGAGGTCAGGTCTGAGCGGCTGTGCGTCAGGTAGTTAGTCGTGTCCCGCCAGCCCTACAGTGAGGTTATACCTGAACCCGCTCAGCTCTGTTAACTCTCAGCATTCTCTGCTTTAACGCTGGAGTCGTGGCTGTGCCGTGAGGATTTAGTGAGCTGACAATAACCAGGCTTACCTGCTATCGTTCGCCTACGCGAATTAATGTAACCTTAAATACGTGCATCATTGCTTTGCAATAGTGAATAGAAGTGAACGTCTCTTATAATAGTTATTTTAGTCGGAATTTGTGCTTTCCCTTTACCATGTTTTACTGATTATAAACAAAGTGAATCAATAAACTATTTTAAGTGTGCTTTGTCGTGATAATATTCCATGGCCACTGAACCGGCTTTAACTATGACTGGGAGAGTTGAACGGCATTGTAGGTTAGCCTAGATGAATGAGCACAGTTGCCTGGAACTTATTCATATATTGTCCTTGCCTGTGAGCGGTGAGCATTATTCGTTCCTGATAGTGAATTAGAGGCCTAACGTTCAGATTGACTTGTAGCTCTGGCCGGTGACAGATTAATTTACATTACCCCTTATTTTTCTCATAAAATGTGGGATATCACACGAAAAGGAGGGCAGCAGAGGCGCTTGTAGGCTCCTAGACGCCTGTACCTGGGAGCGCTGGGTGGAAGTGTGCAGCGCAGTGGCGATGTCCACCAACATGCTTCTGCTCTCAACGAAGAATTTTTGCTGCTCTAGCCGCAACTGCACATGAGGATATTAAAATCTTACACTAAGACAATAATGAGCATAAATCTTGGGTAATAATTCATCCTTGAGGTATATCAAGCCAAGCCAACCCAATGAGCTCAGCTATGCGTGACAGAACAATGTTGAAGATAATAGGAACGAAGTGCAACCGAACAACATGAAAAATGCTCTACACAAACTACCTAATTAACATTAATTTGTTAATTTGGGAAGAAATAAAAATCCCAGGTTAAAAACTAAAATTCACGTATACGTACACGAATTATCATAAAACAAAGTATCATCCATTAAAAATAAGCAAATAATGTATAATTGCTGCTCGCTCAGTTGATAAATTTATGTTTTCCCTTCATTTTTCTCATTAAATGTGGGATATCACACGACAAGGACGGCAGCAGAGGCGCTTGTAGGCTCCTGAGGACCCGGGAGATGGACGGCCGCCGCTCACCTCGTTGCTGAGGAGGTCCAGGCGGCCGCTGGATGGCAGCTGGTCGTAGGCGCCACAGCCGCTGTCGTGTACTCTGCCACCTCTACCAACAACAAGCTTTATGATAGACATCGAATAGCTAAGCATTATCTATAATTATTATAACCAAACACGAGCACTGTATTGGGCACCGAGCAAATACTGCACATACAGTGAGCAGGCTGCTGCCTGCACATACAGTGAGCAGGCTGCTGCCTGCCCATACAGTGAGCAGGCTGCTGCCTGCACATACAGTGAGCAGGCTGCTGCCTGCACATACAGTGAGCAGGCTGCTGCCTGCCCATACAGTGAGCAGGCTGCTGCCTGCACATGCACTAACCAATCTCATGTCACAAGCAAGGTGTGCAGACTAGCACTCACCGACAGCAGTAGAGGAACATGCCCAAGATGGCGATGAGCATGAAGGAGGAAGGGAGCACGTACAGGAACGACATGTTTCCTGGGGAATTATGGGAGATGAAGATTATTACTGTTAATTAATACAGGGTACTGGTAAGGTCTGTAATTATTTTATTGCTTTCAAGCTTTTCAGTTAAGAAAATACTTTTCTCTTCCAAACAAATTTTATCGGCTGAATCTTTACTGGTATATGTATAATGCTATTTCTACAAGAATGTGTTCATCTTGGCTCACATATTAGGTCCCAAATAGATGTCTTAGGCTACACACATAGAAAATTTAACACTCAGCGACAAGAACGTTAGACAAGCCTGCTATGAGGCTTGCATTTATCTGCACCGACCGTAGAACTCGTGGAAGAAGAGGCCGCACTCTCTACCCAGCGCCCGCAGCGGCGACAGCACAAGAGCCGTCAGCGTCCGCACCACAACCTGATCTGGGCTGATCTTCTGGGTGGCAGATATGAAGACGTCAGCGTAGTATCTGTAACATCACAAGCCACGTGAGCACCCAGTACCTGCAACATCACAAGCCACGTGAGCACCCAGTACCTGCAACATCACAAGCCACGTGAGCACCCAGTACCTGCAACATCACAAGCCACGTGAGCACCCAGTACCTGCAACATCACAAGCCACGTGAGCACCCAGTACCTGCAACATCACAAGCCACGTGAGCACCCAGTACCTGCAACATCACAAGCCACGTGAGCACCCAGTACCTGCAACATCACAAGCCACGTGAGCACCCAGTACCTGCAACATCACAAGCCACGTGAGCACCCAGTACCTGCAACATCACAAGCCACGTGAGCACCCAGTACCTGCAACATCACAAGCCACGTGAGCACCCAGTACCTGCAACATCACAAGCCACGTGAGCACCCAGTACCTGCAACATCACAAGCCACGTGAGCACCCAGTACCTGCAACATCACAAGCCACGTGAGCACCCAGTACCTGCAACATCACAAGCCACGTGAGCACCCAGTACCTGCAACATCACAAGCCACGTGAGCACCCAGTACCTGCAACATCACAAGCCACGTGAGCACCCAGTACCTGCAACATCACAAGCCACGTGAGCACCCAGTACCTGCAACATCACAAGCCACGTGAGCACCCAGTACCTGCAACATCACAAGCCACGTGAGCACCCAGTACCTGCAACATCACAAGCCACGTGAGCACCCAGTACCTGCAACATCACAAGCCACGTGAGCACCCAGTACCTGCAACATCACAAGCCACGTGAGCACCCAGTACCTGCAACATCACAAGCCACGTGAGCACCCAGTACCTGCAACATCACAAGCCACGTGAGCACCCAGTACCTGCAACATCACAAGCCACGTGAGCACCCAGTACCTGCAACATCACAAGCCACGTGAGCACCCAGTACCTGCAACATCACAAGCCACGTGAGCACCCAGTACCTGCAACATCACAAGCCACGTGAGCACCCAGTACCTGCAACATCACAAGCCACGTGAGCACCCAGTACCTGCAACATCACAAGCCACGTGAGCACCCAGTACCTGCAACATCACAAGCCACGTGAGCACCCAGTACCTGCAACATCACAAGCCACGTGAGCACCCAGTACCTGCAACATCACAAGCCACGTGAGCACCCAGTACCTGCAACATCACAAGCCACGTGAGCACCCAGTACCTGCAACATCACAAGCCACGTGAGCACCCAGTACCTGCAACATCACAAGCCACGTNTCGACTTCCTGTGGAATAACTTCAGATAACATAAACTTGTCACAGTATGGTTTCTAAAATTAGTGATGTCACTAAAATAATTGTTTTTGCTGCAGGTTTTTTCTAAAAAAAATTCGGATAAAAAAATAATCTAGAAAAAACTAATTTCACTTTAACCCAGGTGACACATGAAATACCCAATTTTCACAATGAAAGAGATTTTAATTCATTTCATTTTAATCAATCTATCAATTTAAAAAGGTGATCAACAAATTATGCTTAGGATTTATAGTGGCAATGATACACACACTAAGAAACCTTGGGATATAATCAAGTAGAAATTTCCTCACATTAACTCATATGAATGCATTTTGAATTGAGGTAGTGAAGACTTTGGGAAATACCTTAGCATTTATTGGTCATGCAGATCCTAGTTATAGTCAGATTGAAGTCAACACAACTATTCAATTGAAAACAAAAATTTTTTCTATGCATTAATATTCTAAGAGATCAAGATACAATAGGAGAAATACAATACAATAGGAGAAATACAATAGAAACAAAAAAGTCTTGCAACAGTAACTAAATTGCTGACGTTTGTTAAGTACAGTATTAATATTTTTTTAATCCATCAACCATCATGACTGTTCTTTGGCATACTATGCCTCATTTAGAATAGAAGTGTCAGCACTGAAGAAATAGGCCCATGGCCTGTTGCCGATTCTTGAACTTTTCGTGACTTGATTCACAAGGGATCCTGCCTTTGGAACCCGATCTTTCCATAACTGACGATTGATTGAGATAGCTGCTAGACTTATTGCCTGGTCCGTAATTTGCTAGGCATTTTAAGACTGAACATATGCTCCTGCATAGCTTCGTCTAGTCTGTTCTTGAAGGTGTTCATAATCGGAGCGTCAACGATGCTATGAGGGAGGCTATTAGCCAGCACATGCTCACCAAATATCTTCTGCTCTGTCACTTCTCTATTACAGCCAGAATTGCTTCTCTGATAAAGCCAAAATCCCTGCAGGGTACTCCTCATTTGTGCTCTCAGATCCTGCATCACTCTCACCCTCCTCATTCAGAATCATCTCCATCACAAGCCATCTTTCTCATCTGCCTCCCATTGCATCAGCATGTGCTCCAAATTCTCCAAGCTCTTTTGATCGTGCTTTTCTATATGACGTTCTTCCGGTTTTTACCTTGATCGTGATACTCCAGTTCAGTTCCAGAGGCAGCACAGTACCTACCTTGACCATTACACTCCAGTTCCAGAGGCAGCACAGTACCTACCTTGACCATGACACTCCAGTTCCAGAGGCAGCGCAGTACCTAAACTCTTCAGGCGAGCCCTCCAGACCTTGTCGCTCCAGCGCAGCCGCACGCTCAGCTTCGACTTCCTGTGGAATAACTTCAGATAACATAAACTTGCCGCAGTATGGTTTCTAAAACTAGTGTTGCTAAAATAATCATTATTGCAGCAGGTTTTTTTCTAAAAAGGTACTTCTAAAAAAAGGTTTTTCTAAAGGCAGGGTACTCCTCATTTGTATTCACAGATCCTGCATCACTAGCACCCTTCTCATTTAGAATCTAGCACAATTTCATTATCCACCCTTCTCCAAATTCTCTAAGTTATTTTGATTGTTTTTCTTCCATATTTTCTTCCGGTTCTGACCTTAATCATGACACTCCAGTTCCAGAGGCAGCGCAGTACCTACCTTGATCATGACACTCCAGTTCCAGAGGCAGCACAGTACCTACCTTGATCATGACACTCCAGTTCCAGAGGCAGCACAGTACCTACCTTGATCATGACACTCCAGTTCCAGAGGCAGCACAGTACCTACCTTGATCATGACACTCCAGTTCCAGAGGCAGCACAGTACCTACCTTGATCATGACACTCCAGTTCCAGAGGCAGCACAGTACCTACCTTGACCATGATACTCCAGTTCCAGAGGCAGCATAAGGTGAAGACAAGCACCAGCAGCAGCACCATGAATGGCCACCACCGTCGTTTGGTCCTCACATCCCATAGCAGCAGAATAGCCGCCCAGCCTACCAAACTCACGATCACAGCAGTCAACATCAGCGTCAGCATCTGTCAAGAATTTAAAATGTATTAAAAAGTAGAAAGTATAGTACAGTATTCTAAGAGTTATACCTCAATAATTTGTTTACATGTTTACTCTATGCCGCATATTTTTTCCAGGTTGTTGTCTCTTTTGCTTAAAAATCACATATAAATAATAACAGTACTGTCATAGCCAAAGCAGGAACTTTGCTTATTCAAGTGCAAAACAAGGAGGAGATATCAATTTAATATTGTAGAAAATCATTTATTTTATACAAACATACACACTGTTCAAAAAATTATACTAAAACCGTCTTGCCGGCATTTAAGTGGCTATGTGTGGCACTGTGTTGCCACTTTTTTCTAATCTAACACAAGGAACCCATACCACATTGGAAAAAAGGCTAAACACAGTTTATTTCTATGGGGTGGCCTTTCACTGGTACGCCGGTCAGACCATTTTTTCACACTTATTTTGAATGGTGCAGGGGATCATCAAAATTCATACTTTAATTAATTAATTTACTGTTATTAATTAGTTTTACTGTTAAAAGTTTTTAGTTCAAATACTGCTGCATTACAATATCACTCAATTTTTAAACAAATATTAAATCAGTACTATCTTCTTGCTAACAATTTGTTAGCTGGTAAAATGTGACTGTAGTAAGATCTTACATGTAAATAAGGGTCAAAGGGATGTACCAAAGAGATTTAAGAACTTACTTCTATTCCGTGGATGGAGGAAATTTCAAATGATGGCCATAAGAAAGAAGAGCGTATTTCGTTTTCTGCCAGTTCAACTGCATCATAGAGTGAAGATATCACTTGATCACACTGTAAATACAACAATGTTAGTGACCTCGACCATCTGGAAAATCATCTGGAAATTGTGGGAAGTATTTTATTATTCACATATTCTACGGGTAACTCTGAAGTCTTTGATATGCATCATGTACATACATTGTATACATGATCACAGATCAATCACAGATGAATGCTCCACCAGTACAACTCACGTGTCTCACGAGGTCTCCAGATGACTTATTTTTGATGCAGTGCTGGAGGCCAGTCACAAGCTCCTCAGACAATACAAAAGTCAGCTGTCGCTGCATGGTGCTTGATGCAGCCCAGCCATGAGTCTGGAAACCAGCCATCAGTTACATGTTTGCAATATGAACTCAACAATTATCATAAAAATGAATTATCATTAGTTATCTTAGTTTCAAATAGAGACAACATGATTTGATGGCAGACATCACACAGACAGTAGCAGAATCAATATCTGAAAAAATTTATAGTTGCACATTGTTATCAATGAGAAGTTTAATTATTTGAGTACATTTTGAAAGAATTTAATACAGAAGGAGGCTTAATAACAAGAAGGAATTGAGTTGTTGTTACCAAGCACCTGAACCTGCAGAGACTGCAACAGGAGGCTAAGGGCACGGCGGTAATGAAGCTCAAAGTCCACAGCGTTGCCCTCACTCAGCTTGGATACAAGTTTAGCGTTGGACGTCTCCTTTGACTGAAATGGATGGATGATTAACTTCTGGGGTGCAGATTTATGCTTCAGAAAGTTCTGTCAAGCACATTGCATGCTAGCTCACTGTTCTGTCAAGCACATTGGGTGCTAGCTCACTGTTTTGTCAAGCACATTGCATGCTAGCTCACTGTTTTGTCAAGCACATTGCATGCTAGCTCACTGTTTTATCAAGCACATTGCATGCTAGCTCATTGTTTTGTCAAGCACATTGCATGCTAGCTCACTGTTTTGTCAAGCACATCGCATGCTAGCTCACCGATTTGTCAAGCACATCGCATGCTAGCTCACTGATTTGTCAAGCACATTGCATGCTAGCTCACTATTTTGGTTGATTAGCTAAATAAGATCCTCAGTCACCCCAATTCTCAATTTTGTCCAAAAGCATGTGTTGATATTCAAAAAGGAAAAGTGTGTGACAGGAAATATTTCTACTAAGTGCATTTATGTAAAAAATTAAGCAGAGTTTTGAAATTAATATTCAAAACACTGATTTTGAGTGATCAGAATGTGGGTTGCAATAGGAGACCAAGGCTTATACTTTCAAATAAAGTTAAGAGATCGTAAGTTCATCAGCCATTCATTGACGGCCTTTCAAGCAAAATCCACCAATCATAGACAAGAAAATAGAGCGTAAGTACTAACGTTCACTTAGCGAGCTTTGAAAGTATCCACCAATCATAGACAAGAAAATAGAGCGTAAGTACTTGCGTTCACTTTGCGAGATTTGAAAGTATGGCCCAAAATGTGGCAGAGGCTCTCACCTGCAATTGCTGTTGTAGCAAATCATGTTGAGCTTGGCAGGAATGAAGCTCACGCTCAATGTTCATACATTCGTTGATGCCATGAGCAATTCCTGGCAAACATGAAACATCAAGAAAAATTGTGATAGATGCGAATGCAAAAAATTTGAATAAAAACTTATGCGAGACAATAAACAAACACAAGAAAGGAGAGATTGATTTTTCTTTAGAATATTGGTGGCAAAAATATCTCATGTACCGTAACTGCAAACACAAATGTGCCTTATGGCATTTTTTCAGGAAACCAAAAATGTTTGAAAAGTGTAATTGGTTTCAAAATATAAAAATCATATGTAGATTACTCTTCTGTTTTTCCATTGACTCATCAAGAGCAGCTTTTTTCTTGATAACCTGGCGTCGCAGTGTGACATCAGCCAGCATGTCATTGGGATCAATGTAGTAGCTTGTGTCCTCATAAAGAATGCCATTCTTGTCCAAGAACTCATCTTCTTCAAGGGGATCTTTCATTGCCTGAAATGGACATTTATAGTTTAATACTTCTTATATTTACTACATTTATAATTTCGTGAATGTAATATACAGTACCTATACAGGGAAGGGAGTTTTACATCATGTCCCTCCATATTCCTTTATGTGTAGGTATATTAATTGCTTTTTATAACTAATAATTGACTTGATTTCTCTTCAAAACAGACCAACTCATTCGAAGGAGCTCAAGGTAGCTTTTGACAGCAGCTTATCAGGCACTCTCAACTGAACAAAGCGAGTCTGGAGCATATGCTTTGCAGTGTGCCAGCTCAATTCCTTACAGAATCAATTTAATGATAGATTTGGGTAATTAAGCTCATTATATAGATGTGATGTTTACCAGAATAGAGATACTTTCTTTGCTGTAGTTCATGATGTGATTAAAGGCCTTCTATCATTGCTGAGAATAATAACAGCTGACTGTGCTGATGACATTTAACTTCCTTTACTTGAGCTCCAGATATGACTGTAGCCAAACGTAATATCCATTTGTTTCTTTCACAGTTAAATGAGTGGACAGGAAGAAGGGATTTGTTCTAAATCATCCAGAAACTTGATCTGTAAGCTCCCCCAACAAGCTTGCTCAACAATATAACAGTCCTGTTATACAAGCCACGTCACAAGCAATGGATTACCATTGCAATATGTACAGAATTGATTACCATTGCAAGCATACTATGCAATATATGAATGAAGCAATGCACTATGCATAATAGCAATATATGAATGGATTACCATTGCCATACGTACAGAATGCTAATACTCAAACCTGCAAGCATACCTACCAATTATAAACATGTCAAGTGCAGCACAACCCACTGGTGGGCTGCAGGGTATTTTTTCTGGACCAGTTGTGTGATATAGCTTTTTTCAATTGCATTGGCTTGAAAAAATTTATGACGGCAGAACCACCTCATTAAATTTTTAAAAATACAATAATAAATGAGTATTAAATTTTTGCACTGGAACCTACAAATTTACTAGTACCGTATATATTGAATTATATGCATTTTTGTCTGCAGACTTGGCCATTTTTAGGCCATCTGGCAGCCCTGGTGGGTTGTGCCGCACATAACGTGTTAATCTGTTTCAACCTAATCCCAGCATATGTCAGGCAGATAACTGCATAAAGAAATAAATCTGAGCTGAAGCAACTGATTTTTAATAGCAGAGCCTTGAGCATAAGAAAACCACATCTGTGCCTTCAATGATACATGCCAGTCTTTTTCCAATGGCCATTCTGCAGAATGTAGGTAGTGGTTGTCAGGTACTAGTACAGCCCGACGCAAAAGGTTAGCCCCACCCCTTTAAAACATCATAACACATCGAGTTTTGCCAGTTTTAACGTGCAAATGGTGGCAAACGAATCGTCTTGGTCTCAGTAATCTATAGCAGGTGAAATTTGATGAAAAAGTTAATTACTGGCGGAAAAATCAAGCAGTCCGTGTTTTTGCACCGACGCAAAAGGTTAGCCCCACTTTGCAGTTTGGCGCTCTTGCGGACAGGACGCAGCGTAGACTCGGTGCAAAGGGNTCATACATGAATAACTATCAATTTCCTACTGGAAGGAAATACTGCCTATTTCTTTAATACCCACCATAACTTTTAAGGCATCCCATTAAATTGATGCCATACCTTCAGTAATCAAAATACAGTCACATTCACAGATAGCCCTTATGTTGCTTAGCCCCTCTAACACCTTACCAAAGCACCCCTTCCTTCATAAGCTACTCTGCAAAATGGGAAACTGCACTCAGAAGTGATGCTTATAGAGTCCAAGTTGTTGCCAATCCACAAGGCTCATAACATGAAATACCTGAAGCATTTGAAAAAGCCCTCTGATTAGAGAAATTCTAGAAATTTTCACCAATTTCCCATTATCCATACTGCTGGCAAGTTCTAACAGTTAGCTCCATCTCATTTTCAAAATTCAAATTTAACTAATGATCAATCTTTCCCCTCCATAGTATGCCTGTGGTACTATATCACAAGGCATAAGGCAAAAAGGTAGATGACTACACAGCAATGGCAAGCCATTCCCTGTGGCACATACAGACTTGCATGAGATGGTAAGTTGAATGACAAGATTTCATTGAAATTGAATACATTAATGTTGGTTGAACAACACTTAAAATTTAATGAAAGGCTTGCTTATTCATTTAATAAAAATGATGTAGGCCAGTGGCCATTGGTTTCCAGTAAGATCCTTGCAATAGAGACTGCTCAACCAGACCTTAACTCCCACACTGGGTCATGCAGGAATTAGGGCACACCTAACCCATTTTAAAATAGTATATAGCTCGCAGTACCTATCTTTGTGGGATCTAAAAACATTCAGCACTTGCTGCTGCATTGCAATTGCACCAGTTATGACCTGTCCTCATGAGCTAATTTGCCAGCTTCCAGTTTAGTTACGGTATTAGAAATAAGAGAATAGGATAAATTATATAAAAATATCATTGACAAATAATTCACTCATTTCCTTATTAATCAATGCTGCCAGTTCAAACTCCATATCAAGCTATAAAGCCTCCTCTAAGAGAACAACATTTAAGATTTTAAACCATTCAGTAAACGGAATCTGATCTTTAATAAAAATGTCAGAGTAAATCATCTTGACACTTTATTGCAGTAACATAATGATGTGAGTATACAATTAAATATTTGAAATTCTGAGCATGGCTGTTGCACATTTCATGTCGAAGATAAATTTTTGTGGTTTCAGAAAAAAATATAAATAAATAAATAAAAAAACCAAGGGCTGCTAAATTTTGATTAAAAACATAATTAAAAGTGGAATTTTTTCATTTTTAGGAGCAGCATATTAACTCAGAGTTAATTTCAAACAGTGCTCTCACATTGCCTCACCTGTGTTGATAACAAACTCAACATAAGTGTACTAAAACTCAATAAAACTGCACCCTGCTTCATCGTGATGACAATCTTGAAAATCTCTCACAGAATTTGCTTTTATAGAAGTCATAAAATAAACTGGTAGCCAAATTAGTGTAATGGTAACTGCTTTTCCATGAGTACAAGATTTCATCTCCTGTACTCTGACTTCATCCTTAATACTGAATAACAATTAAAGAGAAAAACCTGAAAATTAAATTGGAGATTTAATTATATGACAATGATATCAAGTGGTGAGTGCAGTACATTGGCAGGGTTTGTTAAAGTTGTTTATTTGGTATAAGAGATTCACATTGATGCCATGTGGCTACCAAGTTTTCAGAGAGAGGATAACCATCATAAGTAGATACTGATTTTGTTGTTGGTTCATCAGCAACAGGAGGAGCTCAAGAAATAAGTATATGCAGCGCTGTATCACTGAATGAAATGCATTGAGATACATGCACTTTGGGTGAAGTTGTATATAAAAGTTTGGATTGTTTGCTCAATGCAACTAGAATCATATGCTACTACAGAGTGATGCACCATCTATTATCTTGTTGCATGCCAAACTTTTCAGAAAATATAATAATTTTCTCTATTGACAGCAAAACAAAAAGTGAATATTTGAAATTATAAGGAAGATTCATCTAATGAATCTTGCTCCATTTTTCTTGTTTATTTTGAGCATAAAGAATGCCTAAAATACATACTAGGATACTAATGCCATGCAAGTTTTATTGGATCTGCAAAATGATCAAAAATTTGAGAAAAAGCTATACATAAAACAAGCTAAGGCAACTAATTGGTCAAAAATAAGGCCTAGAAAAAAATTATAACATGATAACATTAACAGCATCCATTCAATACATGGTTCCCAAAATTTTGCTTGCTGGCACCCCCTTGGCTCTTCAGTGAATTCCTAGCGCCCTCCCACAGGCACATATGAAAACAAACACCTCTTTCTTGATATTTTGTATACTGCAATTTGAACTTTTCCAGATCTTCAAGTGGGCAGTACCACCTTCTTTGGGAACTACTAAATTTTAACATATGTTCTCAACTTTTTAGCTAAATATTAAAATGAGTAGGTAAAAGGCTGAGTTTTAATACAAAAATATATATATGCAAGTTTGATTAAAGACCAGAGCATGTTTTTTATTAATAATCTTCTTGCTTGTTTTTTCAATGAGTCAAACAAAATTTCTTGCAGGTGCCAGGAGATCAAAAAGCAGGTTTCCAAATGAAATTTTAATAGATTGCAACGTTTTGAAAATACAATTTTCATTATCAAGCAGGTGAAGGTTTTACAACACTTGAAATTGAACTTTGGAAATGACAGAAGTACAAATCAATGGTATAGTGGATACAACTTAAAATATAGGCTTAAAATTACTCTAAAAATAATGTCAGCATCCAGACAAATCCTGTAGTTTGGAGGTTGATAGCTGGAGACTCGCTCTTGATAATGAGGGCCTCAGCTATCGCCAGTCTCAATGGGTCAGGGCACCACATAACTATGCTGGTGCAGGTCTCCAATGTTGCTTGGGTGATGATCTCATTGTGAGCCTCCCTTATGTGGTTCTTAGGTCCTCCAGAACCACATTTCTATTTTCTATAGACCACATTTCTATTTTCTATAACCACATAATCATTTCTATTGAAGGCTGGGCACCAGATCGCCTAGATAAATTACCTCCTATTTACGGTACTTGTTGAGAAGGGTGCATGATCAGGCAACAAGATTCCAAATGTATTAAAAATTTGTCACATTTGAGCCACGAGATTTCAGAAACAAGTAGAAAAATTCCAATCTTGCCCCCAGCCCTGGGCCCCAAACAAGGGTCCCATATCTGGTTATCCCCATTGTGTCCAATCCAAGAGAATTTTCAAGTTCTACCATAGCAGGGTTAGGGATATATTTTGCAACTCTCTTATGATGCCAAAAGACATCAAAGTTTAATGTCATCATGACATCAGTCATCACTGGCTCACGCTCACTGCTGGGCCGCAGGCTACTGCGCCGGGATTGCATTCATGCTTCTTACCAGCAAGGTCTGCAGGGACAACCAAACCCAAAGACCAAAGTAACATTTGCATCTTCAATCAGAGCTATGTCTTCCTCAAAAAGCTCGAATGTAGGAACTCTCACACTGTTGATCTGCCATGATCTACCTACATCAAAATTGGCAGCCACAATGACAGGATGAGGAAAAGTCAACCCTGTTGTTGTTTATTGCATCTGTCATGCTTGCCGGGGGGGCAGGCACCGGAAGAGGGGGGAGATGGGCGAAGGTAGGGAGGGTGGCCAGGAATGCTGCTGTCTCCAAGAGGCTGTCCCACAGTGAGGAGACACTGAGGGAAGTGAGGAAGGCAGGGCAGGCTAAGAGATGCTGGACCCACTGCAGGGGATTCCTGCACTCCAGGCAGGCGTAGCTAGGGGAGCATTTGATCCTGGCGGAGTAGGACGCCAGGGAGCTGCAGCATCATGAGTGCAGCTGGGATAGCGCCCATCGGTAGGGGCGAGGGAGTGAGGCCTCCACCAATGTAATTGGCGGTGGTGGAGCAGCAAGTATGGCATTCATAGCGTCAGTTGCCGCAATGCGGGAGGTGATCTCCCTGCAGAGGGACTGCTTGGCCTCTCTGTAGGCACCAGCAGGCAAGATACCATTTGCCAAGAGTGGTGTGACAAGATGGCTGAACCTTGACTGAATGGAGGCTTTCATGTGGTGGTCCCTGACTGGAGCAGAAACCATGAGGAATGAGGTATGGGAGGGCTGGAGGGCCCTGGCAAGGAACTGGGCACAACGCACAATACAGGTCCAGGTGCACAGACAAAAGGAGGACACCGGTCTCCTGGTGAAGATGGGCAAACAAGGCCATTTTGAGGCAGCCAGTGGCTAGTCTCAATGCAGTGTTTTGTATTGTTTGCAGGCTGGCAATTGCTGTGTGGGAGGCAACAGGGTAACAGATGGGGGCCGCGTAGTTGAGGATTGGGCGCGTGATGGTTCGGTAGGTGGCAATTATGTCCTCCTTGGAGAAGCCCTAGTTGGTACCAGCAAGGGCTTTTAAGATGCGAAGAGAGCCCATTGCTTTTGTGGCAATGGCTCTTACATGAGGGGAGAAAGTGAAGTGTGTATCCCAGGTGACGCCTAGGATTTTGGGGGTTTTATCTAGGGGGATGATGCCAGATAGTGGCAGATGGGTGGGATTGGGATTGGTGCGTATCTGGGATGAAGAGCGTGACCAAGGACTTGCCTGGAGCCATGCCCAGTTTCTTGTTAGCTGACCAGTCTGAGATGCTGCGAAGGAGCATGGTCAAGCCTTGGGGGATTGGGGATGATACAAAGATGGTAAGGTTGTTAGCGTAAAAGGTAATGTTGATGATCGGCACTGGAATATTGGAGATGAAGTGGTTAAAGAGGACCAGCAAGATGACCGAGCTCTGGGGAATGCCCAAGCAGATGGCACTGAAAGGCGATTGTGTTCTCAGGTAGAGGTAAGGTGCCTGCCTGCCTCTTGAGGTAGCAGCACAGCCAACGGACCTGGTTGTGATGTAGGTCTGAGGCTACAATCATGCTTAGGAGAGGGTGGTCAACACTGTCAAAAGCCTCTGAGAGGTCGACTACTGCAGCAACTGTGCGGGCTGGAAGGCGCCAAGTTAAAACCCATCATGATTTGGTGCGCAAGTGGGAGGAGGGTGGAGACTGTGGAGTGTCCCGGTTTGAAACCATGTTGAGAGGGGATGGTAGTGAGGAATCCTAAAATATAAGGGAGCACCAGATGCTCTACAATCTTGGCTGCAGGGCAGAGGAGGGAGATTGGGCAGTATGAAGCAGGGTTGGTGATTTTTTTTGATTTTTTAAAAAATATCAAAAATCAATGATTTGTTTGATTTTTTCATGATTTTTTCGATTTGATTTTTTTTTTATTTTTTTCAGCTTTTTTGTCTTTTTGAAGTGTTATGTTTTACGTTGCAATTAGCCTACTAACAATAACAGTATATGGATCATATTGGATGGCTAAAAAGGGCACTTATTGCCTTCAATAATGGCCAACAGGCCAAGGTGGTGTTTACCACTTAGGGATTTTTGGGTAAACAATTATTGACAAGTCTATTCATTAGCTTTGTAAAGTTTGTATGGAGCAAGGTAATGAGCTAAATATTGACCATTTAACTGGCTTCAATATACAAAAACACTTCAGGAATGCAGATCTTCTAAACATTGAAGAGTCACATAACAAGATAGGTAGCTGATAGCACAGTGCACAGCACTATCAATAGATCTACTAGTTTTATGTCCTATAAATCTACCAGAATCTACCCTCTATACACACCGACTAGTAGTGACTGAGTGACTGACTGCACTGTTCCCATTTAATTCAGACCAATAAACCAATACTAAACATAAACTGAACGATAACCAAACAAACCTCATACGACTTGAAACGAGACTTAAGTTATGAGAAAAGCTAACACTTTTTGAAATAAACATGTGCACAATTCAAACATTTTATATCCATTCACTGCATTTAATTATTTTATATATAGTCTTACAATTGTAGTTGTTTTCTTTCTAGTTTTTAATTCACATATTTAAAGATGGAAATTAAATATTTTAATTAGAATAGGTACTTGTATTAGGGTGGAAAATCTTTCTTCTTGCCTGAAAGGTCAATACCCTTGCAACCTCTCAACATACAGGGTGGGGCAGAACCGATTGAGCAGTTTTGAGCTAAAATAAAAGAGTAATGGAGGGACATAAAGAAGAAAGTTTATTTTCCTAGAGGTTAGCATAACATACCATTTAGAATACTTATGTTTTGAAAACAATATCTGGAAGATGGGGGCCGTTAGCTGCAACACACTGTTGGAGTCGTTCTCAGAGGGAGAAACCGTAACAGTGAATTCCGATAGCTATGCTGCAATGTTGCAAAATTTCTTGCAGCCCATGATGGAAAACATTGTTGAAAATGAAGCATTGGGAGACATGTGGTTCCAGCAGGATGGGGCTACAGCTCACACAGCCCGAATGTCACTCAATGTTTTGAAACGCATGTTCCCGGACTCTGAGGAGTGATTTATAGTGGCCTGCAAGGTCACCTGATTTGAGCATTTGCAATTTCTTTCCTTGGGCACATCTAAAAGAAAGGGGTTCAGAAGTCGCCCTCACACCCTACCACAGCTAAGGGAACGGATTATTGCTG